TACGCCAAACTTGACTCTATAGTAGATCAATGTCCCCGGGGGGACACCCTCATGGTCTTGGGGGACTTCAATGCAGTCACTGGCACTGACAGGGAAGGATACGAGCTATGCATCGGTCCCTATGGCTCTGGTACTAGGAACATCAATAGCTCATACCTCTTAGACTTCGCAAGATCTAGGAGGCTGAGGATTGCGGGCTCGTGGTACCAGAGACGAGATCTACACCGCTGGACTTGGTACTCCAATACTGGTGTTGTAGCTAAAGAGATCGACCATATTCTCGTAGATACTCGCTGGAGGAGTTTTTAGGAGTGCTGAGTTCTTTGCTACCGACCACAGACTTGTTGTCGCAACCCTAAGGCTCCGCCTCAGATCTAGACGCATCCCGAGATCTCACCAGCAGGTGTTCCATCTCGAGAGGCTCAAGAGTGAGGAGGTGGCTCAGGAGTATGCAATGGCAGTCTCAAATCGGTTTGAAGTGCTTGGTACTCTACAGGACCCTGCTGAACTGTGGGATACCTTTAAGCGAGGAACTCTGTCAGCTGCCGAGGAGTGCCTTGGTGTCCGACCTCGGCGAAGGAGGTGTGTTGTCTCAGACGAGACACTGAACACTATAGAGATGAGTCGTGCTGCCAGACTGGATGGGAACCATGTCTTGCACAGGGAGCTGTCTCGCTCTGCTAGGGCCTCTTTGAGAGTGGACCAAGAGAGGTACGTTAGGGGCATCGTGGAAGAGTTGGAAGGTCATTTTGCCCAAAATGACCTTCGACCTGCTTTCCGAGCCCTGAGGGAACTCCGATCAAAGTCCATCTCTCAATTGGGCTCAGTGAGAGCAGAGGATGGTCGCATTGTGTCAGAGCCTGGTGAGTATAGGGCCCGCTGGGCTGAGTACTTTGAGCAACTGTATAGGGTAGATCCCCCGTCTTCACAACTCCCGTTGGCTGGCACACAGCCACTAGTAGCCGATCCACCAATCAGTGAGGCACCACCTTCCATCGAAGAGGTGAGAAGGGCAGTGTCTAAGCTGAAAAGTGGAAAGGCTGCTGGTGTCTGTGGGATTGCTGCAGAGTTGTTGAAGGCGGGTGGAGAAGCCATGATCTGTGGTTTGCATGCAGTCCTGTCTGCCGTTTGGGAGACTGGTACCATTCCCCCTGACTGGAAAAGGGGCTTGGTCATCCCTATCTGGAAAGGGAAAGGGGACCAAAAGGTCTGTGGCAACTACAGAGATATTACATTGCTCAGCATACCAGGCAAGGTCCTCGCTCATCTGCTTCTGGCACGAGTGCGCGACCACCTATTACGAGCACAGAGACCTGAGCAGTCTGGTTTTACACCCAAGAAGTCAACTGTAGACCGTGTCTTAGCACTTCGTGTCATTGTGGAACGCCGACTTGAGTTTCAACAGGGTATGCTTGCAGCTTATGTTGATCTCAAGAAGGCTTTCGACTTATTGGTTTGCTGTCTGGCCTGTATACAGATACTGAGAGTGCTGTCAAGTGTGGGGAGGGCATCTCTGCCTTCTTCCCGGTGTCTGCCGGGGTGAGACAGGGATGTGTCCTGGCCACAACCCTTTTCAACACTTGTATGGACTGGATACTTGGCCGTACCGTGAACCGTAGTTCCTGTGGGGCATCAATTGGTAATTTCAAGGTCACAGACCTTGACTTTGCCGATGATGCAGTGATTCTAGCAGAGACATTAGAGGTCCTGGAAGTAGCTCTCGAGGCGCTGCATGAGGAGGCGAAGCCGTTGGGACTCGCGGTCAACTGGACCAAGACCAAGGTTCAGGAATTTGGGGACTTTTTGGATGTCGATGCTCAGTCTGTGCATGCCTGTGGCGAGAACATTGAGGTCTTGGATAGCTTCACTTATCTTGGTAGTGTAGTGCAGAGCGACGGAGGTTCCGACCGGGAAGTCACTCGACGACTCGGAATGGCCTACGGCGTTATGGACTCACTCAATAGGATTCAAATTCAAATTCAAATTCAAACACTTTATTCCATTAATTACAATGGGTATTCCATTTATATACATGTTGTTTACATTATGTAATAGGATGTTATATACATAGACATTATACAATGCTTGTTGAACAAGATTAGACAGAACATTAGTATCACAGATGACTGAAATGTCGTACTTGACTTGATGTTCAAACGCCTTATGTCATTGATATTTCAGTAGATGTTCTTTCACTTTTGTTTTAAAAGTCTTTTGGTTGGAGATATTTCTAATATTTTCAGGTAGTTGGTTCCAGATCACCAGTCCTCTGATTTGCATATTTCTTGCCCCGGTTTCTGTATTCGATCTTTTGATATATAAGGAGTTATTTTGCCTTGTAAGGATACCTGTTATGTTACCTGTTATTTGTATGGGTAATAGCCAATTTGGGTAGTTTCCTTGTATTATTTTATGGATCTGTATACACGTGTCATATTTGCAATTCTCTTGTACTTTTAGCCATTTTAGTTTGTTTATATGTGGTGTGATGTGGTCATATTTATTAACATTTCCCATTGCCACTCTTGCCGCAAAGTTCTGTAGTTTCTGTGTCCTTTGTATTTGTGTTTTGTTTGTGGAGCCCCAGATGTTTAGACAGTAATTAAGGATACTAAGTGCTAGTGTTTGTATAACAGCAATTCTTGTTTCTGTGGGTATTTTGTTTTTTATGTGATTTAAGTATATCAGTGTGCCCATTACTTTCCTGTAGATGTGGTCAATGTGTGTTTCGAAAGTCATGTATCTATCTACGTGTACCCCCAGGTTTTTTACTATTGTGTCCGGTTTGATGTAGCAACCTTGGAAATCTATAACTGTATCTGTGGGTATTTTTGCTATGTTTTGACGGCTGCCTATGAAAATACATTGTGTTTTTTGTGGATTTAGCTTCAGGCCATTCATATCGAAGTATTGTTTTGCTTCTGTTAGGGTCTGTTTGGTCTTTTCTATCAATTCATTTAGATTGTTTACAGAGGCAGCGTGAAGGAATTGAGAGTCGTCGGCATACTGAACAAGAAGACAATTTTTTGCAATTGATGATAAATCATTTATGAATATGATGAATAAGATTGGGCCAAGGATGGAGCCTTGAGGAACACCGAACGAAACTGATTGCTTTGATGATACTTTTTCATGGATTTTGACTGATTGAGTTCTCGCGGACAAGTAACTTTTGAACCAAAAATTATCAATTTTGTGGTTTGTTAGTTTGTTTACAAGTAATTCATGGCTGACACTGTCAAAGGCCTTCGATAGATCACATAGAGTGAGCAAATTTATCTGGTTGTTGTCTATATTATTATAAATTTCGTTTGTGACTTTTAGTAATGCCGTTTCGGTTGATAATTTATTCCTAAAACCGTGTTGCGTGTTAGATATAAGGTTATTCGCTTCTAAAAATGTTGTTAATTGGTTTGCAACTATTTTCTCGAGAACTTTAGATATTACTGGCAGTATAGTGATGGGTCGATAATTATTAATTTCGTCTCTGTCACCGGATTTGAAAATAGGAGTTATGATGCCGTGTTTCCAAAGTGATGGATAAACTCCAGTGACTATAGATGTATTAATGATTACTGTCAGATAGTAAGCAATTGCTGGTAAACTATCGTTTATGAAACGATGTGCAATTCCATCTGCTCCCACGGAATTTGTCTTTCTTAAGTGTTTTATTGTCAAGATGATTGTTTCTACTCCAACTGGTTGCGGTCTGAAAAAGTTTGTTGTAGTATTCATTTCGTTTATGTTGTGTTGATATGTGGGGGCGGTTGTCTGTTCAAAAGTGCGTCTGCCTATTTCTGCAAAGAAGTTATTGAAATGTTCTATATTATTTATGGAATTTTGGGAAGTGTCTGTGTTTTGTTTCTTCTTAGGCACTAATGTATTTACTAGTTTCCACGTCCCGGCAGAATCGCTTCTGCATTCATTGAACTTGTTTTTAAAATAATTGGTTTTCGCCCCATGGAGGAGTGTTTTCACATTTTTCTTCTTTTGTTTGTATTCAGCCCGAAGGGTGGTGTCAAATCTGTTTATCTTGAGAGCTTTGTGAGTATTATTTCTATCATTTATGGCCCTCTTAATGTTGTCATTTTGTTTTAAAAGGAGCGCAGGCATCGATGCCGTTCTTTATCACGTTTGTAAGAATGTTAACTTATTTATCAACGTCATCAGTTGTTAAGATCTCTGACAGTGACGAGTCGTTGGCTGTAATATATTGGCAGAGTAACTGAGGATCGTAGTGCGTTAGGTCGCGGGAGGTTTTAATGACTGGTTTTCGCTTTGTTTTTTCTATATTTAAAGTCATGGTTAACAGCTCGTGATCAGCAATGTGGCAAGGGACAGCGTCTGTGTGTAGTGTAATATCGGGTCTGTTTGTTATTATAACATCTAATAAGGATGAAGTGCTTTCTGTAATCCTTGTAGGCTTCTTTATAAGTTGTTTTAATTTGTTTTTGTTAATTATCCCATTTAATTTTGCATTAGGTTTATTTAGATCGTCATTTAAATCACCTATGATGAAAAGTGGTTTTCGCTTTATTGACATTTCTCCGAAAATATTTTCTAGGTAGTCAAAAGAGTCTGTGGTGGCATGAGGGTGTCTGTAGATTGTGCCGACGAGGAAGGAGGGATGCATATCGCTTTGTACGGTTACCCAGATGTCCTCTACTGCTGTATGATTTACAGTTGCAGAGATCTTTTTTGATTTAAGGGTATCGCTTACATATATGCATACTCCACCTCCACGTCCTGCATCACATCTGTAAACATGGAAGTTTGGGATGCTGATGAAACTGCATGGTATTTCTTGGTGAAGCCAAGTTTCGCTAATACACAAAATATCAATATTTCTCTCCTTAATTATCAATTTGATTTCTTCGAAATGACCGAGGAGGGACTGTGCATTGATGTGTTCAATTTTGATGGTGTTTGATGATTTGACGGCCGGATTTGCAACGTCAAACATTCTGCTCGCCTTTGTACTTGTTTCTATTTAGAAATACCTTTACATTGTTGGGAAAGACGTCTGACTCTAAGAACAGATCTGGGTTTATGTCTTTGCCCCTAATAGTGACTGTGAAACTTGAGTAATAATTATGCGACATTTTTGTTTTGAAAGCTTTGACATTTGAAATTTGGTTGAAATTATTTTCGAGGAAGTCTTCAATGTCGTCTTCATCTGTTTCTGGGTGGCAACTCGTAATATATAGGTACACTACCTGAGGACGGTCGGCACCTTGCAAGGGTTTTGGCGAGTGACGTTCCTCCCTTGTTTTTCTTTTATGTTTTCTTGAATTAACTTGAACAAATCCTTCCGCATCTTGGTGTTGCTGCGGCTGCTCGTTTGTTTGCCTCTGTGTTTCCGCTCCTTCCGCGTAGTTGTTGATTACGAGCTGTGGCGCTTGTGGAGCAAGAGGGGTAGTAGGGGGGGCAGGTACACCAGGCACGTGGTGGTGTGTCGCATCTTCCCATTGGCGATTTGGTGGAAGATGTTTTTGCTTGTTTTTCTTTTTACTGTTTCTGACGTAGCTTCTTCTAGGTGTGACTTGTGTAGAGGCTTCGTTCCTCATACCGGTTTCGGACGTGTCAGCGTTGTTTTTGGTCAGACGCTTGCGTGGCTCCGGACGAGGCGCGTCAGCAAGGTCGTGAGTCTGCTGGGTCGGAGTGGGTACAGAGGGAGTGGGTTGAGGGGACGGAGTATCGGGGGAGGGTGGTGGTGATGGAGGGGAGCTAGGAGAGGCGTTGGTCGTTGGTACTGGCGTGGAAGGTGTAGGAGTGTGTTTGTTTTGTGGTGTAGAGGTAGATGTGGTTCTGCCGGGGGGAGGGGATGCGAAAGGGAAGGATTGGTAGGCAGATTGATCGTGGGCAGGGGTTGGGAGATCGGATATTGCGTGATGGGGTGGGGTCGAGGATGTTGTGACGGAAGCTTCCTTTCCGCATTCCTGCGGCTGAGAAGGCATCGCGCCTTGGCGGATTAGACTGTTAATTGCTGATTGTTGTTCGGAGAACATTCCGATTAGCAAATCAATTTTATTTTCAACAAGATCTTGATTGACCAAGGAGGGTTCGTGTTGTGTTTGTGTATTTTGGTGTTTTGGTTTTTGAAAGATTTTTACAAAAGGTGTAGTGATACCTGTTTTCTTTGGTGGTGGAGACCAGTCAGTGGCGGGAGTGTCTGTCGTTGTAGTAGCAAACACTATGTTGTCCTTTTTTAAACACTGATCGATCATGGTATGCACTATGGAGTTTGTCATTCTTTTAATGTCTTTAGTTATATTTCTTGTTCTTCTAGAGTCTGATATATGTAGAATGATATTATAGGCATTTTCGATCTCATCCGGGCTGTACAGTTTCCTGATTTGATCACACAGAACCATCCGAGCCCATGCTTTTTTGGTTGCAATAAAGCATAGGATCGTGTTTAGCACTATAGTTATGCTGCCTACCTGATAGATAGCTTTTCTGTCTGCACTGTATTCACTGTTTCCATTTATCTGGTTTGTTTCTTCATTGTTCTCACTGATATCACTGGAATTGCTGGTTTCGTTGAAATTTCTGATAGGGCTGCTGGGGTTGTCCGGGTTGAGTCGCCCTTTGCCCTGGGCGGGGGGGCAGCCTTGACCCTGGCTGCCATGGGGGTGCCCACCGTCATGGGCGAGGGAGCAGCTTTGACCCGCGCTGCCGGGGAGCCCGTATCCTAGGGCGGAGGTCCCATTACCCTGGGAAGGAGGCACGAAACCCTCGGCCGAGGGTCCCCTTTCACTCTGGGGATTAGAGCTCGAGCTAGCTGCCCGAGAAAGCACCGGGGAAGCTCCCTGGCTAGCCCCCTGTGACCCGGGGAGGGTAGTCAGATTTCCCTCTGACTGTGCGGGACCATGAGATGCCATGGTTTGCTGAGGTGTTACGCGGCGGCGGAGAGGAAGCAAAAACACGTCCGTTCACCGCGGCGGCTAGACTCAGGAGTATTTGGCGCTGTCGGTATTTGACTAGGAGAACTAAGATCAGGCTCCTCAGAGCACTGGTGATCCCGGTCTTGCTCTACGGGTGTGAGACCTGGACACTGAACAGTGCTCTGAAAGCCCGTCTTAACTCCTTCGGTACTAAGTGTCTTCGCAGAATCATGGGGTATACCTGGAGGGACCATGTGTCCAATCAGAGGATACTCAATGAGACTGATTCAAGACCTATTACCAGTCTGATACGAGAGCGCCAACTTCAGCTCTATGGACATGTGGCTCGTTTCCCTGAGGAAGATCCGGCTCATAGGGTCATCTGCGAGAGGGTTGACCCAGGCTGGAGAAGACCAAGGGGAAGGCCACGGAACTCATGGCTGAAGCAAGTCGATCAGATCTGCCAAGATGTACTGGGAGTGGGAAGGAATGCTGCATGGAGGCTCGCTCGGAGGGACCCCAGGAGATGGAGGCAAAGGTTGGGCGCGGCAAAGCGCAGCCATGCGTATGCCCCCTTATGATGACGATGAGCTCAAATAACGTAAAGCCTAAATCCAGTAATGACCATTGTAAATGCTAGTTGTTTTTACTTTTTATTTCAACTTTCTTAGATATTTAACAGTGTATATGTGTTTTAAATGTTTGCCTTTAATTTACGGTTATTTTTACTGAACATTTACTTTTCTTACCCATACTTTTATTATACTTTTACAGATTTTTTTCTCTGCATTTACCATAATTTTACTGACCTTTTTACTTTACTTTTATTGTTTTACTGATTCTTTTACTCTACCTTTACCTTACTTTTAATACTTTTACTGAGCTATCGGTATCTTATTTTTACTTTTCCTGTTCCTTATTTTTACCCTTCTTCCCGACTGTTTTTACCCTACGCTTCTGTGCCTGCCGCTTGTGCTACCACTACTACTGCTGACGCTCGTGCAACCACTACTACTATTGTTCACGATATTACAACTGCTATTGTTCACGCTACCACAACTGCTATTGCTCGTGCTACCACTATTGCTATTGATCGTGCTACCTTTACTATTATCACTAGTGCTATGTCTACTACTATTGCTACTATCACTACAGTAGAAGGACTCTAGAAAACGATAAAAGCAGCTGTGTTAGACCTTCAAAGGAGTATTACTGTCTCATTTCAAGAGGAGTGAACGGGACCCTAACTTCAATTTTCAACTGGTCCCTAAGCCTCTCCTGCCTCACGAGAGATTTGAATACGGACTCCTCTACGGATGGTATCTTGAGCTCGGAGTATACCTTACAATATATGTGTGGTTATATATATATATATATATATATATATATATATATATATATATATATATATATATGTATGTATGTATGTATATATTATGTATGTATAAATGTATATATATATATATATATATATATATATATATATATATATATATATATATATATGTATGTATATGTATATGTATGTGTAAATGTATATGTATATATACATATATACACACACACACACACACACACACATACACGCACACACACACGCACATACACACAGTCACACACAGACACACACACACACATATATACATATACATATATATATATATATATATGTGTGTGTGTGTGTGTGTGTGTGTGTGTGTGTGTGTGTGTGCGTGCGTATGCGTATGTGTGTGTCGTGCACGCACGCGGCTCTACGTGTGCGCGTCACTGATTTCCCTCTTGGCCCCACTATTCGACTCGGTTCATAAGTTCTGAATCGGGTTTATCCAGCGTTATAGAGTAACTAAGCTTCATATTGACAGGCTATTATTTCTAAATAAAAATGTTTCAGGCCAATAAAACTGGGACATAATGAAAATACTAAATATGTGTCTAACAACAATGAAAATACTAAATATTTGTCTAATAAACTGACTAGGTGGAGCATTTGGCATCGCGCTTGAGTGTAAAGATGCGTGCAAATAAATTTTTCCCCTTTACAAATGAACCTTTTCTTTTCTTTTTACCAAGACCAATAAGCACTGAACAATTCGTCGTGTGGGTCTGTGTGCATGCATATGACTGTGCGCAATACATCTCTCGTAATAAAGTAAAGGGATATATAACAACTAATTTCTCATAACTTTTTAAGTTAACTCTTCGTTACCCGTTACAAAATATATATTTACTGAAATTCCGTGTACCTGTCCTCTCCGAGATAGCATGTTACCCTCGGACTATCTTTAATCAACTGTCATTTTTTATGCAACTCAGTGTTAATTCTGTAATGACATTCATGGATAGAAGTGAAGTTCTATATTTGGTGACCTGATGTTTACAATGACCCTTGATCCAATCCACTAAAGTCATAGGCAGTATGAGAATGTAAACAGAGGTGCCACATGTGCTTACAACTACACCTGTAAGTTCATATTATGCATCAGATTTGCAATGGTGACACTAATGGTAACAATAACGTATGGCGTTCTTTTCATTCATGACAGTCATATTCTCACAGGCGAATAACTTTCCTTATTACCCTGCGGCCCACTTATGACCCTCCCGAGGGCTGTGATTCTGACTCCCCTGGCTTTGAAGAAGCCGGAAAACTTTCTCCCGAGAGCCTTGGAATGCCATAGTCTTAAGGACTGCGTTTGTTTATTTTTTATCTTTTACATTCTCTGTGCTTTTATTTGGAATCTTGGTTGCTTATATATTGTTATTTTAATGATGATTTAACAGGAATGTCCACACACACACACATGTATGTATGTATGCACACATACACAAATATATATATATATATATATATATATATATATATATATATATATATATATATATATATATACATATATATATATATATATATATATATATATATATATATATATATATATATATATATGTATATATATATATATATATATATATATATATATATATATATATATATATATATATATTTATTTATATATCATAACGAAGCGGTAATACTAGACAAGGTCTCTCTAAGTTTTACCTTTATGAATTTTACAAAACTGAATGCACTACGATGAATTTGATGAAATTCAAGAATATGTAGGATAAACAATTTTGTGTTTATACATATATATAGAGTCCATATGGCATTCCAATTTTTATTTTAAAAACGTTAGGGGAGAGCCCTTTTTCAGCTGGGTCCCTGCCTCCTGAGCGTCTGTTCACGTCAGTGATATGGGCGAGGCATGTGCACTCGCTTATGTGTAGTAATGCCTAGAATTGGTTATCATTTCTCAAAATTCAATAAACAAATGCATGATAACCCTCTCTATATTTCTATCTGTCTCTTTCTCTTTTTCTGCTTCCCTATCTGTCTCTTTCTCTATGTCTCCCTCACTCTCTCTTTCTATCCACACTTTCTCTCTCTCTCTCTCTCTCCTCTCCTATCTTTCATTCTCTCCCCTCCCTCTCTCTCTCTCACTCTCTCTTTTTCCTTTCTCTTTCTATCTCTCTCTCTCTCTCTCTCTCTCTAACTCTCTCTCACTCTCTTTCTCTTTCTCATTCCCTCCCCCCCCTCTCTCTCTTTCTCATTCTCTCTCTCTCTCTCTTTCTTTCTCTCTCTCTCTTTCTTATTCTGTCCATCTCTCTCTCTCTCTCTCTCTCTCTTTCTCATTCTGTCCCCCCCTCTCTCTCTCTTTCATTCCCTCCCTCTCATTCCCTACATCTCTCTTTCTCTCTCTCTCCCTCTCTCACGCTCTCTCTCTCTCTTTCTCTCTATCTCTATCTCTCTCTCTCCCTCTCTTTTTCTCATTCCTTCCCTTTCCCCCTCTCTCTCTTTTTCATTCTCTCTCTCTCTCTCTGTCTGTCTGTCTCTCTCTCTCTCTTTTTCATTCCCTCCCTCTCATTCCCTACATCTCTCTCTCTCTCTCTCTTCCCTCCCCCCCCCCCCTCTCTCTCTCCCTCTCTTTCTTTCTTTCTCTCTCCTTCCCTCCCTCTCCCCCCCTTCTCTCTCGTTTTTATTCCCTCCCTCTCATTCCCTACATCTCTCTCTCTCTCTTCCCTCCCCCCCCTCCCCCCCCTCTCTCTCTTTCTTTCTCTCTCCTTCCCTCCCTCTCCCTCTCTCTTTCTCTCTCACACACACACTCTCTCTCTTTCATTCCCTCCCGCTCCCTCCCTCTCTCTCTCTTTCTCTCTCTTTTTCATTCCCTCCGTCCCTCTCTTTCTCACTCCCTCCATCTCTCACTCTCTTTCATCCCCCCCCCTCTCTCTCTCTTTCTCTCATTCCCTCCCTCCCTCTCTCTCTCTCTTTCTCATTCCCTCCATCTCTCTCTCTAACTCTCTTTCTCATTCCTTTCCCTCCTCTCTCTCTCTCTCTCTCTCTCTCTCCCCCCCCCCCCCTCCCTCCCTCCCTCTCATTTTCTCTTTCTCTCTCTCTCTCTCTCCCCCTCCCTCCCTCTCTCCCCCTCTCATTTTCTCTTTCTCTCTCTCCCTCTCTCATTCTCTCTCTCTCTCTCTCTTTCTCATTCCCTCCCTTCCCCCCTCTCTCTTTTTTTCATTCTCTCTCTCTCTCTTCTCTCCCCCCCCCCCTCTCTCTCCCTCTCATTCCCGACATCTCTCTTTCTCTCTCTCTCTCTCTTCTCTCCCTCCCCCCCTCTCTCTCTCCCTCTCTTTCTTTCTCTCTCATTCCCTCCCCCTCCCTCTCTCTCACACACACACTCTCTCTCTCTTTCATTCCCTCCCGCTCCCTCCCTCTCTTTCTCTCATTCCCTCAGTCTCTTTCTCTCTTTCTCACCCCCCCCCCCTCTCTCTCTCTTTCTCATTCCCTCTCTCTCTCTCTCTCTCTCCCTCTTTCTCTCTCATTCCCTCCCTCTTCCCTCTGTATAAAATACAGATATTTTGGAAAGTATTTCTAGGAACTTCGAGTAGACATCCATAGACATAGTGTGTTTGTACATTAAATATATATATATATATGCATATATATATATATATATATATATATATATATATATATATATATATATATATATATATATGTATATATATATATATATATATATATATATGCATATATATATATATATATATATATATATATATATATATATATATATATATTATA